TTAAAGCTCAATCTTTCAAAAACTAAGCTCATGGTGGTCCCTCCCCCACCCCCCCCCACCCCCCCCCGGGGGGGGGGGGGGGGGGGGCATTGAGGGCACCTCCCTGAAATGAGAAGGACACCTCCCTGAAATGGCTTCTTTCAGGTTGGGATCCCTGCTGTCACCACAGGTTCAACTTTATCCAATATCCAACCTGTAAAAGAAGCATAAATGTACTAAAGTTTCCAGCGGCCTATGCTCTGAAAAGGCACCACATCTCTTCTCACCAGCAGCTGCAAGTATTTGACCATTAAATACTTGCTCCCCCGCCAGATGCTGTGGTTCCTCCCACCAGCTCGTATGTCTTGCAGTGACTTACAAGGCAGCAGGACGAACCACAGTGCTGACAGAGGGGTGGGTATTGGACACACTCGGAAATGTAGAACGCTTGCAGTGGCTGGGGAGCGGTGCAGCAACAGATTACTATCTGGTAAAAGTAACCCTTGGTTACAGCGTCACTTTAAGATTTGGTTGCATGTCACATATGCCGGAGGGTTTTTTTAATTAAAGGGAAATTCCAGCTTTTAAAATAAAGAAATAAATGTGCACTTCTTCATAAAAGAAAATATATGCATTTATTATCTTTTTGCATAGGAGCCAGTGAAACATTGCAAACATGATGGGTGCAATGCTCCGGCTCCTGTAGACGCTTCCTTTTGTAGATACCTCAGGAACGATATTCCGTAACACGTGCAGGAGGAAGAATGAATGGACTACAAGTGCAGTGACGTCACACTTTGCCATGGTGGCTGATAGGACTTGTAGTTTATCCATTCACAGACCCTGTCAAATTGACATTTGTAAACAAGCCTGCGGGAAAAAGAACTGGGATTCGGGTAAGTGGGGGACGGGGTTCCATTTGACCGTGTTTCATGTTACATCCTACATATGGGTCCTACATATGGGTGTAACATGGTCAGAAAGGTAAACTTAGCCTTGAGGGCTTGTTCACACGATTTTCTGGTCCAGATCTGGAGACGCGGTGCTATGCATGCAGTGCGTGTTTGACGTGTTCCAGTAAAAAAAACTGGAGTGGGGCCGTCAGTATGTTAGCTGCAGTGCAGTACATTTTCAGCGCGTTTTTGACACGTTCCTGCATTTCCAGACCGGACAAAATGTGACATGCAGTTTTTTTTCTGTCCGGACGGGAACAGACTGCGCTCGTGAGAACTGTAGCCCATAAAACACATAGGGATACATTGGGATGCATTTTGGGATTCATGAGCACGGATATGGATCCGGTCCGGACAGAATCTGGACGTTGTGTAAACAAGCCCTTAAACTCCATTTCAGTGCTTCACTTGCAGCTGTTCGGGGAGGATATTACACCCTTTTCCTGCATTACTTTGGCTGAAACAGTCAACCCAACAATCAACGTATTGCTTGCATTCTCTGCCTTGAAAACATGCACTGTAAGACTGTCAGACAGGCAAACAGGACGAAGGGGAGCACAAAGGACATTAGCTGCATGAAAATTTCCCTGCTCAGACGCCACGTCTACCGCCGCGCTTGTTTACACTCCCCTACGTCAAGGATGCGCAAGTTGCGCAAATCAAGCGCTGGGCAACATGGGAAACAACAGCGAACAGGGTTCAAAGAGGACAGCGGGAGCAGATCGTCATAGCAACCCATTGTTTACATGTCACGTGTGAAAAGACGTAACGTAGCAGTTGGGCGGTGCCTGATGACGTCTCGGAGATCGATTGGTGGAAGTAGGGAACTGTTACTAGGGAGACAATGTGTGGGCGGAGGAAGATCCCGGAAGGAAAGAGAAAAATAAACATAGGA